TTGTGCTAGGTTAGTTGTCTGATTGTGCAAGGTTAGTGTCCGCATTTTAAGAGCTGGCCTCATTTTAAGAGTTGGCCTCATTTGATCCGCCCCCTATATATATATATATAATTGCTGGCTATTGCATTTAATAAAATAATTAATAAATATATAATTTTTTATTTTTGTTTTACAAAATCACATAAACAATGCCTTTCTGACTGTGATCATTGATTTAGTTTTGTCAGTTACAAGAATTTTAAGAATTTTATTACCCACTTTATGAGATTAATTAGCTTTCCAAAAAAACTTGATTATTTTTAATAATTACATAATTTACATAAGAACATAAATTATGATTGACAACAAATTTATTTTGTATTATCATTTTATATTTTTTTTTTTTAATTTTCTCCATAAATCAACAAATATTAAGACATGCTAAAAATTGATTAATTACAAGACATATACAATTTTATTTATAAAAAATCAATTAATTGTCCACGCCATATTGTCTTCAATTAGATCTGCAAAAAAATTAAAGACAGAAAAAATCAGCTAAACGTTTTTAAAGTATCTTATACTTTAATCAGTGTTCTAGAAGTCGCTAGGCGCCCGACCAGCGCCTAGCGCCTAGAGCGCGTAGTCGGGGCCTAGGCGGGGTTTAGGCGGGGCCTAGAAATTATAATAAATATATTATTTTCATTTATTTTTACAATTTCACTAATGAAATTATAACTTATAATTAATAAATCCATACACCTAAGTCTCAATAATATTATTAATATTATATTATAAAACAAACTCCAAGTCAAAATAAGTACATCACCACAATATAACTTCTTCTCATTGTAATTTATCAAACACATTATCTACATGTTATGTTTTAAACATTACACAACATAAGACAATTATAAAAATCAACTAAACACTAAATTTCACTAATCATTAACTAATTAAATTAACACATATAATAATAATACAATAAAACACATTAATAACAAAATAAGAAATAAAAAAATATACGCATTTAGTGTAAAAAAA